TGCAAATGATGATTTGTAATAGATGGACGACTGACTGTAGCATGTTTTGACAAAATCATCCATATATATAAAATATGTTATATTGACACGAAAAAAATGTGAAAAAATGTAGATAAAATTACACAGAGAAAATTACTAGCTCTGTCGCTTCATTATTTCGTGGCATGCATGAAATGAAAGACTGAAGGACACTACTTGAATGCAAACACCTACATATCCTTTCTAAATTCTCATCCCCAAATCAAGATACCGTCCAGTCAAAGGCCAATTAACTCCATTCTATGGACATCCAAACACACCGGAATCAATGGAATATTCATAGTAAATTATAATATATAAAAAAAAGATATGACAAAATTAAACACTCTATAATCTATTAACATACATATTATATATATATATATATAGTAAGTAAAAATTAAAAGAAAAAGATGAAGGTATTACCTGAACAATGAAACTTGGACAAGGTTCGCTGGCCACCACATAGCAGCTGGCTCAACCAAGTACCTCCTGAAAATCCCAGCCCAACCAAACCCCAACACCTACCATTCAATTCAATTTCAAACCCCATCATGAACCCTAATCAACAAAATTTCAAAATAATCATCTTCAATTAAACTCTACAAAACCAATATAATATATCTGGAAGAAGTTAACAAATTACTTAAATAAAAATATTAACCTGAGTTGTTAAGATAACAAGCAGGGACACAAAGAAGGTGATGTGTTTCTTGTAAAAAACTTTAACCACAGTAACAATATGAATGGCGTAGACAGTTCCAGCTCCGGAGTTGGCAAATATGGTGATGAGGACATGTTCTTTGACATTGAAGGGTCCAGGGTTGAGGGTGAACTCCCAGCGGGAGCCTTTGAAGAAGGCATGGGTTGTGATTTTGGAAGCCATGAGCTGCCCCAGAGGCACCACAGCAATCTGGGCAGAGATGGCGGTGATCGAAAGAGGCTCTTTTCTGTACCAGAAGAACTGGTTGAGGAAGGAGAGGAGGACGCAGGACAGGGTACCCAGAACCCACATTCGAAATGTTAGGACTGGGAGGGAGGGATCGTCTGTGGTTGGTACAGTTAAAGCAACCTGTTCCACTGGTGAGTTTTCTTCTTCTTCTTCTGGGTTTTGAAGTTTTGGTTGAGAAGATGAGGGCTGGCCATAAAAGTCTTCATCTTTCTTGTCCTTAGAAACTGCAGAGCCAGAAAACAAAATTAGCAAGAGAAAAAGGGAATTTATTGATTGATGGGGAGGGCATGCTTACTGAGAGGGCTTGTGATTTCATGAGTGGATTCTTCCATGGATTCTGAGCTTTCTGTCATTCTGTGTGTCAATAGTTTCTAACATGTATATACGTTTTGTTTTCAAAGGTGGTGGTGGTGGTGGTGGATTAAAATTGAATGATATGAGGAAGGAGAATCTAAGGAGGTAGATAAGTTGTGAAATTTTCTTGGGTCATAACTAATTTTAGGGCATGATAAATTTATATCATATCTAATTTAGATAATTAGAAGAAAAAAAATAATTAGTTAGCTAATTAGCTAGCAGGTTATTCTGAGTTGTTGCAGCTGCTCACCCACGTGGCGCTATTTTGTCTGTTTTATTTTTCTTCTACACATCTAATACATATACGAAGTTGAGAATATTAGTTTATCGTATTCAATTCAATCCAATACTAGTCACCGATGGGCTGAACATTACTACAATTAAGCTTGACATATGTTTCTTCCACTGCCTAAAATATCCTCTCTTTTTTGAATCTATTATTGCACTCATGTACTGAGCGACAAAAAATATGGCGGCAAATAGGAAGAATTTTGAGGGGTCCATTGACCATGGATAGTTTGTTGTTTGGTGGTTGGTGACCAAAATAATAGCGTGCAGTGCAGAATAATACCTACCCTTCCAAGGCCAACTGATTTTACAGTTGCGAGTATAACTACATGCCCAATTGGAAAACAAATTTTTTTATATATTATTATTATTATTATTATTATTATAAAAAAAAAAAGTGGAAGAGTTGACCAAGGTTTGGGAAATCTATGTTCTAAAGCGCGCTTTCTGGTCTAGATTCAAATTATTCTTGAATCTCATAGAGCAGTGCATATGTGTGGATGATACATATGCACCCACGTAAACTCACTGCTAGCCGGAGGAAAATATTCTGTATACTTATGGTAAAAACTTTTTTACATTGTGACTGTCACGGGATCTCAAATCAATTATATATTAATTGCTTTATATATTAATTTTTATTATTATATAACAATGTGTGATTAACTTACGAAATTGCCAATTGACATAACTTCGAGATGTCACTATAGTTAGGTTACTTCTCCTGTCATATATCACAAGTTTGTGACAGACAGCTCTACAATTTTGGAGTTATTTTGAATGAAATTTGATGCGACCAATTCACGGACAGAACTACTTAGTGGGCTGCACTGGGTTGTAGCTTAGGTAGTTTTTGGGGAAATAAAATATTAACATATATAGCCAATTGGTTGAGATTATCACCTTGTGACTTCTCGGCAGTATGCAAATTTGAAGTCCCACATAAAGGAATTAATATCCTAGTATCCTAATTGGTTTCACATAATGAAGTATCCTCGATTATAATAAATTATGTCAAAATCAAAAATATACTTGTGAAACTTAGCCTTAGCAACGGTCCCAAAAAAATACCATGATGTTTTTTGTATTCTTTGTTATGAAAGTCTCGTAGGTAAAATTCTTATCCCTAAGAATAAGATGAAACGAAAAAGACACAAAGATATCATGATAGATAGGTTGATTAGCAACAAGATGGATTCATATGACAATAACAAAATATTTCAATTCTCTTAAGGATCTCAGGGTACAACTTCAATAAGTACACTTTTAATTATGTTGTGAAACATATATTCATGTTCATAATATATATATATTTTTTATTGCATCTAATATGTATCTGTTTTCTGTTAATTCTTATTAGAAATTAGTCAATGTAGCTATGAATTGCATGGTTTATATGATTTAATGTATACTTTTGTTTTAGCCAAAAAATTTAGCTAGCCCATCCGTCAAAAAATTCATGATCCCGCCATTAAAATCAATTGCTAAGATTTCTGAAGAAGATGTTTTGGCATTATTGGTGGGGGATTGTAACTTGCACGGATTTTATAATCTCCCATATAATGCCGTCGAATATCATGCCAAGCTGCCATCTAAAGTGATAAGCAAATGATAATATGCAAGAGACCCAGCCTTTAATTTAATACAAATTTATAAATAAACCCAATCCTAAACATGTATTTATAAAAAAACCCAAGCACTATTTAAACATAGAAACACACCCAAAATCAACCCCACAGTCAACTTTTTGGGTGTGTTATAAATGGGTTTTGAGTGTGTGTAATGATGGGTTTTGGGTGTGTTTATAAAGTGTTTTGGGTGTTGGGTTTTTTTATAATTTCAATCTCCATTTTGGGTGTTTTAGTGAAACTCCCTTAATTTAAGTGGTCCCAAGAGCTATAGATGTCATCATCAACATAAACCAACCCGGCTTCCTAAATTGAGAAGCAAATAATGTGCATGAGACACTCCCTTCAATTTTGTAAGGGGACCCAGGCAGATCCAATCATGTGAATAATTCTTCTCATTTCTTGCACATTTTGTTAAGAAAGATTAGGGTTTAAGTTAAAGGACTTGCGTGATCAAATGGATGGTAAATAAAATTAGATAATTAAAATGCACTTTAATAGTACATATCTAATCGAACAGCTGTTATTCCATTATTCTTTGCCTTATTTATCTAACATCTATAAATAATGGAAAAAAAGCTTCATGGAATATGATATTATCACATGATCCTTGAGGCTTGAGGCTTTTTGTGCACATGAAATGACCAAATGATATTGTTGACGTCTTTATATAACCCCATCTAAATCATTTCTCTTGTTTCCATTAGCAGATTGAAACCAATACTATAGCACTACGGACCCAACAACCTGCCCCACTCACCCACCAAATAATGTTTGACATTTTTCTTTCTTATTAAAACTATCAGAAATATTTTTACTCACAATTTTAATCCAAGGTGTATACTTATCACAATTCTTAATACTTGACACATGTTTATAAGTATAATTATGGTTAACTTTTTATTTTAATTTATATTATCATAATTATGTTTATGGACACGTGTCAAGTGCTAAAAAGAGTGGTGAACATACACTTTAAGTTAAAGTGGTGAGCAAAAATGCTCCAAAAACTATCAATATTTTAATGGGGTCTAGACAGTAGACCAGTGAAAAATGGCCTTAACTTGCATGCTATAAGTCTTAGGTTTGAACCCTCATGACATCTTAATTGTATATGTAAGTTTAGACTATCACTTATACTCAGGAAAAAAAAAATATAAAGATTACACAAGTTTTATGTAACTGAAAGATCTGCGCTAAGATTTAAGGATCATAAAGCAAATTATGAATTAAGTTGTTATAAAACAAATTGTGTGTGAGTGATTTTTGACTGTTGATATATGAAAATTTTAGATCTTACCAATAGTCATAAGTCACTTACGCTCCTACGTACAACTGCCCCTAGTAGAATTCACAATAGATTAATGACTTTCACACCAAACTGACAATTTCATGAATTTTGTTAACGTTAATCATCCATGTATTTTTAACCGTTTTGTTCATATAAAACTCACATTTTTTCACTAGTTAGAAATCGCCAAAGCAATCCATGGTAGATTTGCCGACTGCCACACTAGACTGCCTAGAGTACTAGAGTGTTCCATATTTTTGGCACAACCGCTTCACTCGGTTAACAAATAAACATATAAATGGTAACTTTGTAATTTAGCACCAAAGTGATGTCATTTTCTCAGGGCAGCTTCAGGGCAACTTGTCAGCTTCCTAATCAGTAAGTTTATTTTTTGGTCTGTAATCAGTAAGTTTAGAACTCACCGAACTCGGACACATCTCTCCATTACTATAAGCTCACAGTCTGTCTCAGAGAACCCTAAAACTCCACCTCTCACTCTCTCTCTTCCACAGCCATCTATATAAACCCATCATGGCACACTGGCCAGGTACAAATATTAAACCCTTAATTTTAATCTATGCATGTAATTCTCATATCTTCAACATTTCTGGCATTTACTGGCCTTTGCAGATGATCAGTCCACTACCCATTTCATAATTAAAGAAAAAGTTTCAATTTTTTTTTTCTCCTTTAGCCAGATTCATTGTTAATTACTGGGTTTTAGCTATGTGTTGTCCCTGATCTTGTGTGATTTTTGAAGTGGGTTTCTTTGTTAGCCTTTTACTTTTCTCACAGCAATTCTTTCTTTACCAATTGCCATTTACTTCTTTTTGGGCCTCATTGATGGCTTTGATTGATCACCGTTACTGCTCTTAATCATTGGTTTCAGTTGTTTGATCCTTAACGTAATCACTGCCCTGTTTTGTCAACAGGAATTGCGTCCAAGACTAGATGATAGCCAATTTTATAGTGGACCAATATCTGGTGAGGAAAAGGTGAGCTTCTTGTTGCTCTTGAATTTTGTATTTACATATGTTTCTTTTAGATTTTCAATTTTGATTGTACTAAAAAGTGATGCTGATTGCTGCTGTATCTGCAAATGTTTGGATGCCCCGTAGCAGAGGGTCTTGAATTTTGTATAGTGGCTCAGGGATCTGTGCTTTGCTCATCGTAATCTCGATTTCTGATGGCGGAATTTGTTGGGCCGAGGTTGTATAGTTGCTGTAATTGTAGAAACCATGTTGCCCTTCATGATGATGTCATTTCTAAAGCCTTTCAGGTGAAGAACCTTGCTTTGCTTTGATTAAGCTGTTGTGCTTCTTTTGATTGTCTGTCATTAAGAAAGAGACCTGCTTTGATATGCTAATGAGAATCTGTTCTTTAAAATGAAATGAATAGACGTTTACTTGTCACTAGATTTTGGATGATATGAGGAATAAAAGTTAAGCTTTCGTGTAAGTTGAAATGAAGACTCAATTCAAACTTGATTAGCCAAGGGAAGGAGGCAAGTAGTTGTTTTCTGTTTGGTTGAGGGTTTTTATGTTCTGCATTGTATTGATTTGGTTAATGTGTCTATTAGATAGTCTTGTTCTGGATGTGACTATGATGAGAGGATTGCAAGAACATTACTTGATTCGACTATTTCTTTTCCTAAATCATAGGGTAGAAATGGTCGAGCCTTTCTGTTTTCACACGCAATGAACATTACAGTTGGGCCGAAAGAAAACAGACAACTCATGACTGGTCTGCACACTGTTGCTGATGTCTCCTGCTGCGACTGTCGTGAGGTGCTTGGTTGGAAGTACGAACGAGCCTATGAGGAAACGCAGAAGTACAAGGAAGGGAAATTCATACTTGAGAAATCAAAAATCGTCAAGGAAAACTGGTAGTATGTTTGGAGGCTTTTAGTTCATCTGTCTGCATGTCAAATGTAAGTGTATGGGATGCTCATGCTTCTATTCATCTTGTTCAGGAAATCTCATCAATTGAAAATATCAATTATTGTTCCTTGTTGAGCATTCATTTCGTGTTCCTCATGTGAATATTGTATTGGGGATGATTGATTTTGTTTATAAATTGTGAATAACTCTTTCAGTTTAGCTTCTGGAATTAAATTTGAAATTTTGCATACAATTTTCTGTTCCACTCATTGCATATAGAACCTTCGTGTTTCAATGGATGCCAATGGGTTTTGCACTTCAACAGAAGTTGATGATTGAATGTAGAATGAAGGGAAATAAGAACAAGAATTTGCTGATGAAGAATTACAAATTTGTGCTGGATAGGAGAAATCTGTTGCTAGTTACAAATTTGTACAAAATATATAAAGCAGATCCTTTTTCTTCACTTGCAAAGTGTCAAAGTTCCACTATCAAGAACTCGAGGTTAAAAAGAGATTCTGCTTTAAGAGGAGGGAAAAAGAAGGGAAATTTGTCGTGAACTGACTACCGCTAACAAACCAACATATAATCACAGAAGATAGTACCTAAAAGCAAATGGATTTCCAGAAGTTAAAAAATGACAAGAATCAAATGAATATTGTAGAACAAAAGGAAATAAAAAACACCCAAGCAGGAACGTTGTACACCAGTTAACTATTTTCTGTTTTGCTGGGTACCCTTTCTTTGGAATTTGTCCATTAGAGACAAGGAACAAATACTTGGCAAGCTAGAAGTTTTCTATTTATACGAGATAGCAGAGTGAGCTACTTCATGAACCATACAATCAGGACTGGAACCCTACCTACCTATCTGAACCTTTACAGCATCGATCAAAACTGTACGTATCTGATCATAAAACTCTACATTCTTGGCATCTGAAGCAGAAGCAACGTTGGATGCCGAGTCCCTTGATCCGAAATTAGTTCACGCAATGCTGCAGGCTGTACCCAATGGTACAAACAAGATTATAGCATCCTTTATCACCTGCTCTCTTTCATAGTAAAATTTTTCTCTTTATTTTCTTCTTTGTTGTCTTCCATTGTAAGATTTCTCTATTTCTTATATCTCTTCCTTGGCTAGGCCAACTGATATCAGCTCTGTTTTAGAAGCCATCTTCCTCAACTTAGTCACTATTAGCACTGGATCCAACTGTCCTACCACTGTTAGCTTTTGGTTCTTTGCATCCCAACCGGTCGAACTAACCCCTGTTCATCCAAATAAACAGAAAAATGAATGGAAAATACAAAAAGAAACTTCTTTGGAATGCTTTGAATATTGAAGCTCCTCAAACAAAACTGAGCAAGAAAAGTTAGAATTATACCATTTATGGCATGGACAGCTTTCATAACTTTCTTCATTTGTTTGTCACCATCACTCACCTTCAGTTCCAACTTCTGCTGCTTATGTGTCTGCATAGACTCGACAGGATTGCCAAGAGGAAACTAAATTGAAAGAAAGAGAGCGTGTTAAAGTTGGAAAAGCACCTGAGCCATATTGTTAAGAGTAAGAACACAACTACACAAACGAAAAGTAGAAATTTTAGAAGCAAAAACACATGAGGTATAGTTAATCTTAGATAGATGTTGTGCATTGCAAACTAAGAAATCACCTTCCCAACATCTTTTGAAACATAAGAGCTTCTATTGGCTATCCGTTGAAGGTACATATTCAGTAACCTTATTTTCAGCATCCGGAGCTTCAATGTAGGCTCACCTATTCCAATGTCAATTTGACCTTGTACATCTCCGCTACCTTCGATTCACTTCATCCCAACCTCTATTATTGCTGCCGAATCCAATGTCTCCTTTACATCCCTTGTTCCATGCACACTCAATCCAACTTCAGGCTATGGGGGTTCAAGTACTTCACATGGATCATTTTGTAATTGTACCGTACCACTCCCTTCAATTTGATCGATCACCTTCTCTATATTACTTACGGAAACCAAGCTCTCTATCACATCCCTTGCTAATTGCACTCTCAATATATTTAACAATCCTTGAAGTGATTCATCCAATCCAAGAAGTTTGTTTGCATATTAATACCTTTTGTAGCTAGTCCACTGAAGAACCTTGGAGCACTTGTGAAGTAGCTCCACACCCTCTTTCATTTGAAATCTAACATTTCTAATTCCTCCTTTGGGAGATTCAATGCCTTGTTATACGCTGCTATTTCTTCTATTAGTGGTTTTAACGAGTCGAGCGTGGATTTGACATCTTTGAGAGGGGGTTTAAGTATCAAAGTCTTGTCCTTCACGCACGCAACAGTATCAAACAGCACTTCGAACACTGCTCCTAGAGCAGCAGCCCCTCCTACTCCGCCTAATGGCGCCACTTGATGCCCTTCATTCTGTTTGATACCGTTGCGCACGTAAAGGACAAGACTTTGATGCTTAAATGCCCTCTCGAAGATGTCAAATCCACACTCGACTCGTTAAAACCACTAATATAAGAAATAGCAGCGTATAACAAGGTATTGAATCTCCCATAGGAGGAATTAGAAAATGTTAGATTTCAAATGGAAGAGGGTGTGGAGCTACTTCACAAGTGCTCCAAGGTTCTTCAGTGGACTAGCTACAAAAGGTATTAATATGCAAACAAACTTCTTGGATTGGATGAATCACTTCAAGGATTGTTAAATATATTGAGAGTGCAATTAGCAAGGGATGTGATAGAGAGCTTGGTTTCCGTAAGTAATATAGAGAAGGTGATCGATCAAATTGAAGGGAGTGGTACGGTACAATTACAAAATGATCCATGTGAAGTACTTGAACCCCCATAGCCTGAAGTTGGATTGAGTGTGCATGGAACAAGGGATGTAAAGGAGACATTGGATTCGGCAGCAATAATAGAGGTTGGGATGAAGTGAATCGAAGGTAGCGGAGATGTACAAGGTCAAATTGACATTGGAATAGGTGAGCCTACATTGAAGCTCCGGATGCTGAAAATAAGGTTACTGAATATGTACCTTCAACGGATAGCCAATAGAAGCTCTTATGTTTCAAAAGATGTTGGGAAGGTGATTTCTTAGTTTGCAATGCACAACATCTATCTAAGATTAACTATACCTCATGTGTTTTTGCTTCTAAAATTTCTACTTTTCGTTTGTGTAGTTGTGTTCTTACTCTTAACAATATGGCTCAGGTGCTTTTCCAACTTTAACACGCTCTCTTTCTTTCAATTTAGTTTCCTCTTGGCAATCCTGTCGAGTCTATGCAGACACATAAGCAGCAGAAGTTGGAACTGAAGGTGACCACGAACACTATGTAAACACAAAATATATAAAGCAAATCCTTCTTCTTCACTTGCAAAGTGTCAAATTTCCACTATCAAGAACTCGAGGTTAAAAAGAGATTCTGCTTTTGGGGTTTGTCGTGAACTGACTACCTAACAAACCAACATATAATCACAGCAGATATAAACCTAAATGCAAATGGATTTACAAAAGTTAAAAGATGACAAGAATCAAATGAATATTATAGAACAAAAGGAAATAAAAAACACCCTAGCAGGAACAGGGTACGCCTGTTACCGACTATTTTCTGTTTTGCTGTGTACCCTTTCTTTGGAATTTGTCCACTAGAGACAACTCAGACAAGGAACAAATGCTTGGCAAATTAAAAGTTTTCTAATTATACGAGATGTCAACGTTTGTTGCTGAGCTACTTCATGAACCATACAATCAGGACTGGAACCCTACCTACCTATCTGAACCTTTACAGCATCGATCAAAACTGTACGTATCTGATCATAAAACTCACATTCTTGGCATCCGAAGCAGAACCAACGTTGGATGCTTGCTCGTTTAGTTCCTTTCATCAGTACGCAGATGCCGAGTCACTTGATCTGAAATTAATTCACATGAAATGGGCTGTACCCAATGGTACAAACAATATTATAGTATCCTTCATCACCTGCTCTCTTTCATAGTAAAATTTTTCTCTTTATTTTCTTCTTTGTTGTCTTCCATTGTAAGATTTCTCTATTTCTTATATCTCTTCCTTGGCTAGGCCAACTGATATCAGCTCTGTTTTAGAAGCCATCTTCCTCAACTTAGTCACTATTAGCACTGGATCCAACTGTCCTACCACTGTTAGCTTTTGGTTCTTTGCATCCCAACCGGTCGAACTAACCCCTGTTCATCCAAATAAACAGAAAAATGAATGGAAAACGGAAAATACAAAAAGAAACTTCTTTGGAATGCTTTGAATATTGAAGCTCCTCAAACAAAACTGAGCAAGAAAAGTTAGAATTATACCATTTATGGCATGGACAGCTTTCATAACTTTCTTCATTTGTTTGTCACCATCACTCACCTTCAGTTCCAACTTCTGCTGCTTATGTGTCTGCATAGACTCGACAGGATTGCCAAGAGGAAACTAAATTGAAAGAAAGAGAGCGTGTTAAAGTTGGAAAAGCACCTGAGCCATATTGTTAAGAGTAAGAACACAACTACACAAACGAAAAGTAGAAATTTTAGAAGCAAAAACACATGAGGTATAGTTAATCTTAGATAGATGTTGTGCATTGCAAACTAAGAAATCACCTTCCCAACATCTTTTGAAACATAAGAGCTTCTATTGGCTATCCGTTGAAGGTACATATTCAGTAACCTTATTTTCAGCATCCGGAGCTTCAATGTAGGCTCACCTATTCCAATGTCAATTTGACCTTGTACATCTCCGCTACCTTCGATTCACTTCATCCCAACCTCTATTATTGCTGCCGAATCCAATGTCTCCTTTACATCCCTTGTTCCATGCACACTCAATCCAACTTCAGGCTATGGGGGTTCAAGTACTTCACATGGATCATTTTGTAATTGTACCGTACCACTCCCTTCAATTTGATCGATCACCTTCTCTATATTACTTACGGAAACCAAGCTCTCTATCACATCCCTTGCTAATTGCACTCTCAATATATTTAACAATCCTTGAAGTGATTCATCCAATCCAAGAAGTTTGTTTGCATATTAATACCTTTTGTAGCTAGTCCACTGAAGAACCTTGGAGCACTTGTGAAGTAGCTCCACACCCTCTTTCATTTGAAATCTAACATTTCTAATTCCTCCTTTGGGAGATTCAATGCCTTGTTATACGCTGCTATTTCTTCTATTAGTGGTTTTAACGAGTCGAGCGTGGATTTGACATCTTTGAGAGGGGGTTTAAGTATCAAAGTCTTGTCCTTCACGCACGCAACAGTATCAAACAGCACTTCGAACACTGCTCCTAGAGCAGCAGCCCCTCCTACTCCGCCTAATGGCGCCACTTGATGCCCTTCATTCTGTTTGATACCGTTGCGCACGTAAAGGACAAGACTTTGATGCTTAAATGCCCTCTCGAAGATGTCAAATCCACACTCGACTCGTTAAAACCACTAATATAAGAAATAGCAGCGTATAACAAGGTATTGAATCTCCCATAGGAGGAATTAGAAAATGTTAGATTTCAAATGGAAGAGGGTGTGGAGCTACTTCACAAGTGCTCCAAGGTTCTTCAGTGGACTAGCTACAAAAGGTATTAATATGCAAACAAACTTCTTGGATTGGATGAATCACTTCAAGGATTGTTAAATATATTGAGAGTGCAATTAGCAAGGGATGTGATAGAGAGCTTGGTTTCCGTAAGTAATATAGAGAAGGTGATCGATCAAATTGAAGGGAGTGGTACGGTACAATTACAAAATGATCCATGTGAAGTACTTGAACCCCCATAGCCTGAAGTTGGATTGAGTGTGCATGGAACAAGGGATGTAAAGGAGACATTGGATTCGGCAGCAATAATAGAGGTTGGGATGAAGTGAATCGAAGGTAGCGGAGATGTACAAGGTCAAATTGACATTGGAATAGGTGAGCCTACATTGAAGCTCCGGATGCTGAAAATAAGGTTACTGAATATGTACCTTCAACGGATAGCCAATAGAAGCTCTTATGTTTCAAAAGATGTTGGGAAGGTGATTTCTTAGTTTGCAATGCACAACATCTATCTAAGATTAACTATACCTCATGTGTTTTTGCTTCTAAAATTTCTACTTTTCGTTTGTGTAGTTGTGTTCTTACTCTTAACAATATGGCTCAGGTGCTTTTCCAACTTTAACACGCTCTCTTTCTTTCAATTTAGTTTCCTCTTGGCAATCCTGTCGAGTCTATGCAGACACATAAGCAGCAGAAGTTGGAACTGAAGGTGA